ACCCAACAACAACAACAACAACAACAACAACAACAATCGCGCATCCCAAAGGTTGGTTGTTGTTGTTGTCTTCACATTAAACTCGTGTCAGTTGCTAATCCCAAATTTTAGCAAAGACGCGGTCCGTTGTCACAAAAATGCTAGAGCCATCAGAAGATCTAAAGAACACAAAAACTAGCAACAAAAGGGTACACAAGCCCGAAGAGGTACACATATACATCCCTGCAGCACGTTTGCGTGCCCAAAACTGAACTACCCGTCCACACACTACATTCGACTACAGCAGCATCATTCCCCCTGTCCCACCCTTCACCAAAATGAATGTTTGTCAACTACAGCGCACAGCTGTCTGGAGTACTGCCAGTACAATAGCATCATGGTAGGCATGGCATAAGTTCGGGGCGCGCAACTGCTGTCTGAAGTGCTGTCAGAATGCGTTCGTGGACATACAGCTAGTGAAAAAGGACACCCAACCAAAGCCATCATTCATTGCAATTGACAATCACCGAATCTACCCCCGGATCATCTATCTGTGTTGGGACACAGCAGTTATAATAATCGTTCCACATTGATTGAAGGGTGGGGTCTTCCACGATGCAGGTACACAATAAAGGCACCCGGGGTATCCGCGCCATCTCTGCCGCGTCTCTCTACAAAATCAGTAACGTCATTACACACACACAACACCAATGTTCAGGAAAAAAAACGGAAAATATTTGAAAACACAAAATGTTCGTCCGTGCGTCACGGTTCGATGTCGTCCGTGTGCTCCGGTGCCGCTGCTCCGGTGTCGCTGCGGCCAGTCCTAGCACGACCAAAATCGACCCGCTCCGTCCGTACACGCTCTCGTTGCTGTCCTTCCCAGTCGGTTCCCGCTTTCTCCCTCGTTGCACTTCTTGATGGTCTGAAAATTCTCGCGCCGAAGGGTCAACCAGCCCACTCAGCTCGTCACCACCTGTTGTTCCCCCCTCCCCTTTGATGGCGAAGCCAGGTTACTGAGACAGTACAGCTCCCTCTAGCAACCGAGGGCCGTGCACATAGTGTCCGTCCATCTTTCTGATGGCGTCTGCCTCCGCGCACAAAACTGAGATGGACATTGATTGCTGTCTACACCGACGGCCATGAGGCCCGCGCATCTGCATTTATTTTTTTTGTACCTGACGCATCACCAGTGTCGACCCAACTCTACCACTACGCACGCCTGGCGGCGGGTGCGCCGTAGCAAGAAGGTATCGGTCCCTTGAGGGTGAGTCTAGCCATGCTCGCTAGAAAGCCCCCCCCCACGCTATGGGCCATGCCTAAGCAAAAGCCTTGCCGAGGCAGCGTTGGGAAGAAGGAACGATAAAGCCTTGTAATGCATAATGTACATAACATGTAGTTTTTTTCTGGCTCCCAACCGCGGCACCCCCATGTGCAATATGTTGCAATATGCCCTCTGCGACTGAGTTGCACATGACTCCGGCCTACCATACACTGCCGTGCCAACCACGGCAACCATATACTGTGCCAACATGTCAGCACGAGTACCCCGCGTTGCCACTCGGGCTGCGTCAAGCAAGGTTGCCAAGCCCAGTCCAATGACCTTCCCGGCAAGCAAAAGGAGGAGGAAAGATAGCAGCAGCGGTCCAAGCATCGATATGGCCGCCACAGCAAACAGCAGCGAGATTAACCGGAAGGCCGCCGTTGCTGCGAATCCGGCTCCCGGAGCAAGAAAGACAGAGGCAGGAGCGAAGCATGACATCTCCTCTGTGGTAATGGTTGAGGTTCCCCAAGGATTCTCTTTCACACAGGCAGCGTGCAGGTGAGAGCAGAGACGAACAGGAATGCGCGGGGTTTCACCAACAAAGTTGCGATCCCATACTCGCGCCAGCAGTGTACAGCTGTACAGCAGTACATGAGAGTTGCTTCCTTACCTGGAGAATCACCCGTGATTGGGGCCCGAGCGTGCCACACTGGTGAATGCGACGTGGGAAACAGCAACGTATTGGCAGACAGCAGTCGCACCAGCAGTACAACAGCAAACGTGCAGAGAAGTTCGTCACCCGCAAATAAATATTGCGGGAAAAATCTGCGGGAAGCGGGGAGAAAGCGCCGAGACAGTCCGAGAAAAGAGGGCCGTCCACACAAGCACAGAGGTCTTTTGACCGACATCAATTCGAAAGCCTCAAAACAGAAAAGCCTACGTCGATCTCTGTGGCCTGACCTCCGTGAGTAGCATTAGGTCGAGCGCGTCGGCTCGTCGTGATTTCTAATGGAAGTGGATCGCATGACTTGCGGACGAAAGAGGCACACGCTAATTTACCGCCACAGGAGTCTAGTCTCTATTCCCGTTCTCACAAGTGTTACTACAATAAATAGTTGGATCCACAGCAACCATGCGGATGCGTTCGCTTGACGTTGCGCAGTCTCGACTCCCTCCTCTATCTGTTCCTCCCGCTTCGTCCCTGGTCGGTCTCTCGTTTCCACTGTCGATGAATCGCACTCCGGTTGCGGCGTTACAATAGCTACGGGTACTTCGTCGTCCCACCCAACCTCTGGCAACGGTGCGAGAGCGGGCCGGGACTCAGTGATTCGGGCACGTTCAACCGCCCGCTCAGGTAAGACAAGGCATAGAACGAACGAATCTGCGTGGTGTAGGAAAGGCAACAACCCAAATCCTCCCTGTGTACTGAATCACGCGCAGGAATCGACTGTGTAAGAGGGAGAAACCTTGTTCGCGGTTCTTTTCTTGCGCGTGGGCTTTTGAGACGCTGCTCAGGCGTAATGGCGAAGTCTCCGTATCCATCCGTGGTGGTGCAACTCTAGGTTGGAATCCTCCGCGGTTTCGCCCGTAACTTGAACGGGTTACCCCTTGCCCCAGGCGGGGTTGGCCAGGGAAACTACACTATACGCAAAACTTATAAAATGTTGTCGGCTGCTGTTGTTTACACTCGGATAATTCCTTTTTGTTCTTTTGCACACGCACGCTCCGCAGGTTCGGCGAGCGCTTGGTAAACACGGCAAGATGTACCATATCTCTTGTCCCGGCATGCGGGCAAGTGTCGAATCCCAAGCAAGGTTCGGGAGGAGACCAACAGGCCATGGCACTAAGGGTGGACGTGGTTTCTGCGGAGGCGTTGACAGAGTCCGATCAAGAGGATATTCGTGCGCAAGTTGTGGTGAGTGAGGGTTGGAGAGTAGTCGGGGTGGTGCGGCGACAGTGTTGGCATTGGTTGGGTGGGTGGGGGTGGTCGGGATGGCTATGGTGGTAGTCCAAGTAGTGGTGGTCGCGTACAGCTACTTCTCGTTACTGTTTTTTTCAACGTTGTCAGTCTTTGGGTTTTGCACTGGGTGTGCAAACGCGAGTGGCAGGTGGGTATGGATCGGAGGGGAGGAAGCCAGGAGAGAGGGGGGTAGAGAGGTACAGACAGACAGGGAGGCAAGCATGCCGGCAGGCAGGGAGAGGCAACCCGAGAGAGCGTATGACCTGGTGCACAATGTTTCCAGACCAATTTCGGTCGTCTTTTCCTCTGCAATCGACCACGAGCCAGCCGTATGCCCTGCTTGCTTGCATATGTTCGTTTTTTGGAGCAAACCGCCCTCTACCGTTGTTGTTCCTTGAGCAGCCCCGCTGACTGCCTCTCGGGCGTATCGGTTGTGATTCCGCGCGCGAAGCAGCACCCACCCGCGGGGGACTCACTGTGTGTACACATCTCTTGCTCCGCCGCTCTCCTATCACCGGCTCTCACACAGAGGATGTTTCAGACTACCATCGACCTGGCACCGTGGTTCCGTCTTCACCCTGAGGCGAAGAAGCGAGGCTACGGCCGGCTTTTCCGGTGCGTGTGCGAGAACAACGAGCAAATTAAAAGTGCGTCAAGAATTTCTAAATGCATGTACAGAATAGACCTCATTGACCACGTTGTGTCATAAACGGTTAGCGCACGCGGCCTCTGCACGCCAAGAAAACACCGTGTTGTGTCTCGATACGTGTATATGGGACAAAGGAGAGCGGCGTTAGAAAGGTCTCGCGGGATATTGAGGGGGAGAGTCTCTGGTGTAGTCTTGTGTGATTTATCAGACTGCCAATTCCTCTGTTACTGTTTTGGTTCTTGCGCGGCGTTTCGGCAAGGCGATAGTGTACTCTTGCGTGGTATGCGAGAGAAGGACAGGTCAGCGCAAGATTCCAGATAAGTGAGACAGCCCTACACACTGCCGTCGGGTGTGATTGAGCAGCCGGGAGAGATGCATTATTGTTGTTGCTGGGGCCGAACCCTTCGATGGCCTGCATGACGGGTACTTTGCTCTTTTCGTGTACGGGGCAGTGGCATTCGACTACGGCGTGCACCTAGATGACCATGCCAAAAAAAATCTATCCGTGGGACTTAACAACCCTTTTGTTTCATTTGTTCGCCTTGTGGGGCATACTCTGCTACCCACGCCGTGAACTTCCTCCTCTTCATCTGCGCTTTGGTCAACGCCGCCAAACATCCTTTCTTTCCGTCTCGCAACACCAACTCCGCACACCACGGCGTGTGCGAAACCTTTCCCCGGACGATGGCGGCACCGTCAATCATCGGAACTGACCAAAACTGACTACGCCACGACGCAGCTCGCCTACAGTCTTCGAGGACATGGTGAGGGCCAGCGGCAAGCGCATTTACCCGTCTTTTTTATCCCTTGCGACCACCCTTGTTGTTTGTGCTGGCTGGTCCTGATTTCTTGGGTGGGCTTAAATGTCGGCTTGTCCATTGGTACTCGTTTTTCTTCACCGTTGCTCAACAGGTGCTTCCCTGCAGCCAGTTATGCTGAAAACGTGGAGTCTTCAGAGTGTTTTCCCTCACCATGTTGGGTTTCGTGTTCGGTTCGTTATTTTTGCGCTGCTTCGCCGAACAGGTCAAGAGCATCACGGGATGCAACATGAAGTTCGGGGGAACCATTCGCATGAACAAGTAAGTCGACCTTTCTTGCGATCCTGTCGTGCAACTACGTGCTCGCCTGCCTGCCTGCCTACCTGCCTGCCTTCCCAACTTCTGCCTTCCCAAAAGATCTTTCTAGCAAGCTCTAGAAGTATGATCAGCGGCATCAGGCGGAAGGTCTGGTTGTTCATTAGATCACGTAAGTGTGCTAACCCATTCCACATGCTAGCTATGTATATCAACCATGAGTTGATACTACCCCTTGTGGCCGGGTCATTAAAAGCCCCGTATGGCTTTCGTGTTATTCCGGCGCATAACTACTTGCGCGCACTTCTCTCTGCAGGTTGCTGTGCGAGGAGTTTGGGCGATCCGGGGCTTTCCCTACTCCTGAGGTACGCTAGCACCAAGTTCGTCTAATGGAAGAACGTGGTTTTCCACACGGGGTTCGCATTGTTCGGTTGAAGCTGCCTTCCTCCGAGTGTTGCCTTGATCTTCCTGGCAAACTGTGATGGTTGCTGGTGCTGCTGGTGCTTTTGCTGCTGCTTCAGATTTGCGCCCATTCCGGCTTATCATGATTTTGTGTCCCGCTGCTGCCTGACTAGCTGCTACCGCCGCTACTTTACCATTGCTTCACAGCCCGTGCTGCGGCTGCTTCTGAGCGGTGAGCCCTTTCCTCCGTCCTGTTGTTGTTTTTCCCCAGGACCTGGAAAACGTGCAGGAGGAAGACCTCAAGGAGAAAGCCAAAGTGGGCTACCGCGCCGGCCGCATCCTGAGGCTGGCAGAGAGCTTCCGGGACGGATCCGTTGACCCCGCCTGGCTGGAGGCACCCGAACGGACGAGGTACGGTGGTAGTGCTTTCATTTATATGCGCAACCGAGGTTTTTTGGGTACGTGGCGATCTTGTTACACTGGCGTCAAGGAATACTAAAATCCTGTTTCGAGCGAGAGGCCGTAAGGACATTGGCTTGTGCATGCTCAATACCAACATTGGTCTATTGAGAGTTCCTCTGTGGCTAGCTGCTTTGCGATTGGGGATGATGCCCGAAGGTGTTTTCACCGAAATAGACAGCCTTCAAGGTGATATTCATACAAGGTCATGCCCAGCAGCTTTGCTCCAGTCTCGTACCAGATGTCTGTTTTTCACGAGTCGTGCAACTTGAACGCTCCATATGCGCCGCCACAGGGAAGAAGTGCTGAAGTTTGTCAAGGCCCTGTACGGCTTTGGGGACTACGCGGCGGGGAACGTGGCGATGTTGCTGGGCTTCTACGAGGATATCCCGATGGATAGTGAAACCGTGAGTCAAAGATATCCAACGTGCGTGAAACACAAGCTCTGACCCGTTTTTTTTGTTGTTGGGCCGACTATCTTCACTGACCGTGGAATATATTTTCCAATCAACCTGAACGTGGAAAAAGAACGTCCCAGGTGCATGCAGCTACACGGAAACCTAACTGTTTTGTGTAGATGTGCAAGGTTTGGGTTGCCCTTGCTCCATGTTGCGAATACGGATGTATCAATAGCACATGGATGAAAGGGTCGCGGGGACATCGTGCTGCACACCCACGTCTTCAGTCCAACCGTTCTTTACCTGCGGATGAGTTTTTGGAGGAGAATATTTCACAACGAGACACCGCTTCCAACCAAGCACGACCGCAACGCATGCCTGAGTCAAGAACAATTCTCGCATAGGTTCATAGAATCCCATCCCGAATATTTTGAGGTCTACGCGCAAGGCGAGTGAATTTTCATGAGTTTGGTTCTGCACTTCACTGCATCCCTTTTGCTACGCCTGTCCTAGCTCTTGTCCTGCCGCCAATCCGTTCATAGCACCACCGCCGTGCCATCCTACACCTTTTCGATCGGTAGGTCCGGCACTTCAAGGACTATCACGGTGTAACGACCAAGAATGTGAAGGAGGTGGCGCCAAGGGTAAAGAAGGAGTACGAGAAGTACGCTCCTTACCAGGTGTGTTTGTATGTGTTTACACTCTTCACGCTTGGTTGAGGCCATGTCGATCACGCCCTAACCTTGCACGCCAAGCCACTCTATCGTGGAGTGGAACGCCCACAGATGTAGATGCTTGGGGCATGGTCAAGTTGAATACAATGTAGATGAACGAGGCGCTCACGGAGTGCGGGAAGGCCTAGTTCTGGGCAAGATTCGACCCCCCCCCCGACCCAACGCCAAACACTTGCACCATACCCAGTACCACAAGTTTCAGGGGCGTCTTGCCGACATTGCTGTGTTTCTCACGGGGGGTATGATCTCCCTGCATCTGCTTGCTTTCGCGTCTGTTGTCTCCCGTACAGTTCCTTCAATACTGGTATGAGATGATAACGTGGCACGAGAAGAAGCGAGGCTTGGAGGTCCATCTGTGGAACGCGAGTGAATTTTCCTTCTGATTGTCACTGCGTTTCGATGCTGTGCCCTGAGATCTATCTGGCGAGGTGCGTGTGCCACACGGAACCGGGTGTCCAGTTGGAATGCTGGGGTCGAATTTCAACCGGTTGGGGCGTCCCGAGCATCTGGATTTCCGTACAGGAGAAGAGAAGACCAGCACTCGGTTTGTTGACGATTTCCGCTAGAATTCCGAAGGGAACCGCACGCGGTAACGCAATCACACTCCGTCTCACAGATAGAGCAGAGGAAGTGTGATGTTGTTAGGCCAGACGGCGGAGGAGCCAGCCGTATTGAGGGCAACGTTACGCGCCTGCCTCGAAGACGCTGGCGACCGCCACCATTGTTGAACCAAGGCCAGGCAGTCCGGAACTCGTCAGGATGCCGTGACGCTCATGCCGATTCTCAAGCTGAAGGTAGAGAGGAGCAAAAAGTAGGCGGTGGTGCCGTGAGTTGAAAACAGTCTAAAACAAATAGGTATTGTGGAGAGGAAACTACAGTGTTTTAATCATGGTGGTGATGCAGATGCGAAACTCTATCAAACCGATAGACGAGCGAAACGCTGCGAAACCGATAGAAATCGACAAGATGTGTTGAGGCATGGCGCAGCCGTTGAGCAGGGATGCGAAGGGTTGGAGGCAGTTGACGAAGGGTTTGCGGCAGCGGGAAACAACTTGGTGTGTCAACTTGGTTGTGTCTGGGGTGTGTTTAACATCCCACGCTGCCAGAACCAAGGTCAAAGAAGAATTGAAGAAACAGCTATTGTCGCCGTTCGGAGATGTAGATATGGATACTCCGCGTTGCGCCATGAACATGGAGAAGGCGAGAAAAGAGTTAGCGATGCATTTTTTGTTGCTGTTCGGAGGTGTAGGTAGGGTGCTCCGAGTCGCGCCATGACCATGGCGATTGCCTCCCTTTGTCTGTTGTGCCCTTGGCACCGGTGGTCCGCAATCGGCGACGGCAGCAAGGGAGACCGACGTTTTCGCGAACCGTGCCAGATGTTGCAAGTGTATCGCCGTCCAGGCGGTTGAGGTAGTCGAGGAAGTGACAGGACGTCTTTGTTGGGTGGTTTGTTGAGGTCGGCCAACATCACCGGAAAGAGGAGATGTCGCACGTGACAGGGCTTCGTATGAGGCCGCCTTGTCCATCCTACTTCCCAGCAGACTCCGCATGTCGAGAAAGATATTCCGCCTTTGTTTGTCCCGGGCTACGATAGATGATGAACTTAACATCGGGCGTCTTTTTGTTACAAACTCCCTGTTGGTGATGCCGACGATGTTGAAGCTAATTTCGTAGACAATCGTGAAACCCCGCGTGGGAAATGATCCAGCGGCAGACTTGCTTCATGAGCCGAATTGAGACGTCAGACACGAGTGGGTGCAGTACCAATAGGGGTTCAGTGCGCGTTGCACCAAGTCCTCATCATCGGCCCTGTTCACAATGATTGTTGTTGTGTTTGTTGTTGTTGTCTTCACGTTAAAAAACCGTACCGGTCTCCGCTCAGTACCTGGTACTGGTCCAACTGACGCGGTGTTTACCTTGAGCTAAGGTGTTTCTTGCCAACATCGTCTTCAACACAGCCCAGAACGTCGCCAGCGGTGCCAAATCGAAGCAAGCACGCCAAAACGCCATCGGTTGTGGCGTGGAAGACCTCAGCAGAAGCATCAGAGTCATAGGCGACCAACCTGAGCTTGTCGGCGGGAGTCAGACCTTTAGCCGGCTGGTGATGTCCAGCTCATGTCCAGCCATACATGAAATGACGGGAATGTTTTAAGGTCTTTTGTGGTGCATTTCTTGCCCTGAGGGCCGGAACACAAAACGGCGTGCCGTACATCATGTGGGAGTCCAGCACCTACTCTGCATTCAATTCTCCCGTAGGGTGACTACAAGGCAAACACGATTGTTCGAGTTATCTCCCTCAACAACACATTGATATGGTTCAAGGGATTGGGTCGATGGCACATGCAACCTCAGACAGCTCATTTTCCGTGTCCCAGCAACCGCCAACAGTAAAATGTTGGTACGTCTATCTTCCATCGAGACTCTTGGCAAGCAGTCGTGGTGGGCATTCGCAAGAGCGCTCAGGCTATGGTGTCGGATGGCATGAGGCGCTTGCCTCGGTAAATAGGATGTGCTCGCATACCAAAATATTCAAGTACTCCGGGAGCATGAACTGACGAAATCATCAGCAGAGCCACCGCCGATGACCCAACCGGCGGTAGGAGCAGAGCCTATATGCCCACGCATCAGCGCACACTGCCAACATAGCTCACGCTGAAAGCGTAGCCCTCACGCCACCCTACAATGCCTCCAGCGCTGCCACCACAAAGCGGGCCGACTGTTCAACGAACGATGAACAACCCCAGCAACCGTCAAAAAACAACGCAAAGCGCGCTGGACAAAATTCGCATAGGACGTAGGGAAAAATAGGTAAGAAATCAACCGGACCCAACGAAATCACACAGTGAAACACACAACAGGTATCATCGGCACCGGAGGTTACATAATACAAAACCTAAAGTTACCGCAGTGCAAGGCTTTCTTCGCCACAAAGGCCTCATTAGCATAGAGAACTCGCATGTCAGCCTGCCACCCGTTTCCCAAGGAACTTTTATCAGTGGCAAGCGTCATTCGCGAATCCCGCCGTGCTCGCGGTATATTTCTACTTACAACAATGATGCTCCGCCCGTAGTGGAGCCAAAACGACGGCGCCGGGCAACGGGGGGGTAGGTGTGGACGAAGAAACGATGGCTCCACACCAATAACTGACAATTGCAAACCAGCAGGGCTACACTACCAATGCGGTTCCAGTATCCCGTGCCCGCGTATCCAAGCTGATGACTCCCTCTGGCACCAAGGATGAGAGTTGTGTAGCCACAACTCCCAAGAGCGCAACGCATCAACGAAGTCACTCTTTGCATCCCAAGCTATGTACAACGTCGAGTTTGCTCGCCCGCCTCCACGTTCCCTAACCCACGCCCGGATTTACCCCCAAACGTCACCAGAGCATCTCTCTACATGGCGCAATACTCCGAACATCGTTTTACTGCAGGAGTTTCGCTTCGACTAGGACGCGTGCTAGAAGCTCTCGTGTAGATAAATACACGAAGAGAGCTTGTTCTAGCACGCGCCCGGCCCTCGTCAGCTGGACGGGGGAGGCTTCGGAAGGTCGCTTATACCTCTGACGTTGGACCCTGCCAATGTGATGACGCGTGCACACGCGAGCAAATCGTTAAAGGTTGTCGCGCGACGGCAGGCGCGCCGGCGCGGTGGACGGTGGTAAGACCGACGCGGGACGGGGACGAGATAGGGACGGACAACCATACAAGACACACACCACACCAGATGCCGGCACATCGTGAGCAACATCAAGGGGACGCTGGCCGTGGTTGTTGGCTAGGACTTTCCTCGGACAGCGTTTTGTGAGATGTGGGGTTGAAGAAAGGCGAGTGTACCTAGGGAGAGTGCGACGGATCGGGAGATCACCCGAACCTCTGCCCACTAACAAAAACCAAGATCCTCCGGTGGACATCAGCACCAAAACGCCGCAACACATACCTGTGCCAAAGGAAATGAACATAACATAACGCATTAACCCATTTTAAACCTTTGGCCCTCTCGACAACGAGCGAGCGGCACACGTCGGACCGGCAGAAACGGTGCATGTGAAGCTACGTAGGATAGCTGCGAGTTTCGGGTCATGACCGCCGATGGATCAAACATCTTCTAGACACTAAAATAGAGACGCAAATGTTTGACACCAAGTATCTACATAATGCAAACTCGTGCACACGGCAAGCATGAGCGTCCACCACTACTGCAGGGTGTGGTGGGACAGGTTCACCTCGTGCAAACGGTCGACGTCGGCCACCGCTTCCGCCGCCGCCCGAACCTCCATCGTTGCAGGCGTACTGGCTTGCGCCTGGTCCAATTTCGCAACAGAGAGGCCAACATCGTCAAAAATAGTTAGTCCGGCGTGCGGTTTTATGTCATCGTCTGGGTTACCGCTGTTTCGTGTTCTTTCCACTCTATTCTCTTCGCCATGGTCCATCCCTCAATTCTATGGTTGCCCTTACAGCCTCTTCGGCGCATGTCGGCTTCAAAGGCGGGGAGTTCGAGTCACGAACAATGTTCTCGGAACGAGGGCATGGGCCCAGCGTATCGCGCGGAGTTCCGATGAAGGGCAGGGGCGATGGACGCTGACACATCGGCAAGGTCGCGGCAGACACTGCGCTTGTTTCCTTTGGCGACCCGCGAGCATATTACCAGGCGTGGGGGTAAGGCATGGATGGGCGTGCCGAAGTTTAGCGTTTTCGGGGCTCAGCAAGTGAAGGTTTAGACGACGGGAGACGGGGTGCCACGCTGTGTGTTGTACATCATTTCTTGCCGAGCACGGCGTCGCCATGCCGCAACATCTTGGTGCAAACGCAACGAGCGTTTCATATTTTGTGCCTCACGGTAAACCCGAGGGCTGTAAGGTGGCACCTAGCTCGCCACCAGAGGCCCTCAGACTTCACAGCACAACAGCATGCTTGACGGCAGTGCACTTGTAGGTGTTCGAGTCGCACATAAAATACGCAAGAAAAGGGGTTCTCAACACTCCAGAGTACGGAACAACCGAGGCACTTGTTAGTACAGGACCTATTCTCTGGCCATGATAACAAGACCGTCCGCTCAAAGGTGCTATTTGGACGGCTACCCTTCGTACTTCCAGAGGAAGGTCTCGCATCGTGTGGCATGCCGTCAGAACAGATGGCATCTGTTGTGTTTGATGCTGTGTTGAAGTGGGCTTGAACGCAAGCAAAGGGGGGGGGGCGGGGAGAGTAGCGACATCGCTCCGCTGCTGCCCCTCGGCTGCTCGCTACATGATAGAGAACCAATACTGCCGTATGTTCGACGCCCACCAGGGAACTGAAGTTCTCTCAATCCCCTGTGCATAACATGTAGCGTACCCCACCCTGGCTTACCCGCAGCTGCCGCAACGAAGAGAAGTCCGAAGATGCCAAACTTCAGCCCTGCGAAGACGACGATTACGCAACTCCAATACAGGGGAACGCGGAAGCCCAGGAAATTGATCGTCCTGCACCGGAGCAGCCCCCGGAGCCATCCACCCGCGCCATCTTCGTCCTCCGCGACGATCTGGCCCTCCACCAAGCGTACCATGCTGTGCACTTCGCCCGCCCGGCGGGGTGTGTGCGGAGAATATGACAGATGGTGATGTGGCTTTTTTGGGTCGCTCAAGGTCGCTTGCATGGGGGGATACCTGACAAGACGAGTAGGGGGGGTGATTTTTCATTTTGAACCCAGCCGCGAAGCCTAGGCTCGGCAAGGCTCGGCCAACACAGAGCTAGCCCGAGAGGGCGCAACTAACCAAGGAGCGTGCATGGCACCTAGCTTCGTTTCCGTGGCTGCTGCAGCCTCGGTGCTTCCGCACTGCTTGGGATACGCCGCCGCGTTCGTGACGACGAGCGGCAAGAGCACTACAAATACGTCATTCCGCACGGGACTGTTGACTTCACGAACGACGTCAACGACGTCACTGCGCATGGGCCTTCAGCGGCAACACCACAAGGAACACCAGCAGCAGCGGCGGCGGCAAGAAACTTCTGTACCAGGGTACAGGAGTAGCGTTGGGAGTAACAGATGCAGGGTAGCACAGACACATCAGCACCAGGCGCACAAGACCGAGGAGGGAGTCACGAGCAGCACGACGACAGCGGGAGGGCGGAGTGTTCCAGACGGCGAGGGCGAGTTGACCTTGCTGGACGAGCTTCTGGAGCGTTGTGCGGAAGCCACGAAGAGCGATGCGGCCGCAGAGTCCTCCCACACGGGTTCCAGCGAATGGGCCGGATTTAAAACAGCCCCGGAGTTGTTGGAGGTGAGGACAGCTTGTGCACACAAGGACAGCTACGAGGGCACGTGTGTGTACTGCTGTAGATTCGTGGGCAACAGCATCAAGGTCCTCACCGCTGTGTGTTTTGTGTTGGCAGTCATACAGGAATGTTAGCGCCAACACCAGTAGCAGTAAGGTTAGTGGTGGTAGCAGCATGGGTAACAGCGGCAGTATGCAGCGGGAAAGCTGATCGAGTTTGGGGTAAAGGGCAAGGTTGCGACGCAGTAGTGTTATACAGTAAGTGACCCACTGCTTACGTGCATCTATTTCATATATTGGTTTGGATCAACTGTGGAACAAGGCTGGCCAAAGGAAACATCACACTCGTAGGGCGTGTGTGTATTTCTTGTACGTGGTTCTGTATTCTGTATACCAAGGAGCATCCAGTCACGCCTGTTTTTCGTTTTCCAACTCATTCTCACCGTTTGCTTCCCTCCCCTGCCCCCCCCAATCCCGACCACGCACCCTTCGCACAAAAAGGGTGTGAGGGCTGTCCTCTCCCGCGCCCGTCAACGCTCACGGCACTCCGACGGCTCGGCGCTGGCCTGGTCGTGGCTAACATTGTCCCCTCGCCCGGTGAGGGTGGCGGTCGCCACCCCGGAGGACGGGCGCGTCGGCGTGTACCTGACCGTGCTTCCGGCGGGGAACGGCAACCCTCCGTCGCACAGGCCGATGTACGGGTGCCACATGCTTTCGCGGGTGCTGGCGGGCGAGGTGGAGCAGGTGGGTGCGGGTGCCTGTCCCTGCCTCTGTCATCGCGGTTATCAGTTGTCTGGTTTTGAGTCTTGTGCAGGAGCCTGACACCTACCCCTTCGTCCCATGACACCCCCAGCTGCTGTTGGTCCTCGTCTTTGGCCTCGATTGTCGCCCGAACTCTCGAGTAGGTGAAGTCCAACAGCAAGCGGGTGATCGGGAGGTCTACGCACTCTTTGGAGACCCCTGTTTGGTCGAGCTTCGGGGGTGGAGGTAAGACTGCACTGTTTTTCCCGTCGACGAAGATCAACAGCAGTGCGCACCCCCAAAACGCCCCCTGTGCTTTGCAACTGAAGTACGTCGAGATCGAAGAGCAATCGGGCATCCGGCATCCCCCCCCTCTGTGCACGCGCTCTTGAAGCGCCTTTCTGCTTATCGTTTCGTTGCCTTTCATTGCCTCAGCACCATTTCCAACCAGAAAATCCACTGATAATTCCCCGTGTCGGCTGTAATAGCCGCGTGCAGCACTTCATGGCGCGAGTAACAAACAGCAAGGCCACGCGTCCGTCCGGGTAGCGCGGTCCCCCCGGCCATCCCCCCCTCGCGCACTCTCATCCCGCCCGCCACTCCATGTTTTTCTCCCTTGTCTCCCAGCCCGACGACTTATCAACGAGAGCTTCCAGCCGGCGATCATACTCGAAGTGGTCATGTACGACTGGTCGAGGGGATCGGGGTACTCCGGGAGCTACGCAGCTCCGGGCACCAGCAGCTCCGGCTCCGCCGAGCTCCGGGCGGAGGCCGAAGGCATCGGGCGGGCGGAGGCGGCGGGGGTGGAAGGGGACGGCGGCGGGGAGAGCGGCCCCGCCAAGAACGGCATCCTCCCGATCGTGGCCATGGATGCGTGTCCGTGCCCGCCGGCGCTGCTGTTTCGAGATGGAGATGTGTACGAAGAGGAGGAGGGCGAGGAGGACGGGGGGAGGGGGCTGACGCTCGTACGCAGCGACGGGGGAGCCGTGGAGCAAGGGCGGGCGGCGGGTGAGGTGGTTGGGGGGGGGGTGGAGGACCTGTTGACTGCGGACGGCCTGGCGTGCGACGTCGGCGGGTTGGACGGGCAGCTGGAGGACATCGTGCGGAGGGTGCTGTCTACGAGGTCGATACCCACCGAGGTAGGTCACGGTACGGTACGGTATGGCGAGAGGCAGGCGAGAGGGGGTTCATGCTTGAGCCGACGGATGTTCTGTGCGAGAACGTCAAAGAAGTTTCCTGTTGTTGGGGCAGTGGTGCCAAACGTCGTTGACTCTCTCTCTCTCTAACTCTCTCTGTAACTCTAAGTCTCACTCTCTCTTTGTCGCGACCTCGCGGTGTTGTTGTGTTGAGAAACGCGGCCAACCGGCCGAAGGATGAACGAAAATTTCCTCGGTTTTCTCTCTGTAGTCGCATTCGACGCACCGTCTCCCACGTTTGCCCGCGCCCCCGCCCAACGCTTATCCAGCTGCGACAAGCTTTAGGGGTCGGTCATGTCCGAGGCCTCCTCCTTCACGGCCCACCGGGCTGCGGAAAGACACTGCTGGCCAGGGAACTGAGCCGACGCCTGGGGGCGAGGCCTCCGAAGCTCGTGAGCGGGCCGGAGATCTTGGACAAGTGGGTCGGAGAGGCCGAGCGCAAGGTGCGGCTTCTCTTCCTCGACGCGGAGCTGGACCACGAACGGTGAGGTTTGGCTGGTTTTTGGTCGGCTGTGGCGCGGTACTTAGCTGGGAGTGAATATGGTCCGCTCAAGGACGGGAGAGTGATGTTTTTTTTGTGTCGGGGGGTGTATCCCTGAGTGTTTCTCCAGCATTGCGCAGCAGCAGATAACATGCGTGTTGCCTCCGGTAGTGTCGCTTTCGGCACCACAGAGCTCGTCGTAGCAGCCAACCGAGGTCATCGTAGCGAAAACGGCGTTGGTCTTGGGCAGGCATTCGTCTGAGCCCGCAGAACGATATGCGTTCGTTTTTGGAACCATGGAGAGAGTCTCTTGTGCGTCGTTGATGCTGCTGTATATGCCCGTCAGGTGCGTTCAGACGGGAGAGGACCCAGCTGGTCTACCGCTAAACCTGATTTGCTTCGACGAGATCGACGCTCTCTGTCGTAGCAGGGGTTCTCTCTCGGGAGACACGTCGGGTGTGCGAGACAGCGTCGTCAACCAGGCAAGGAAAATCGAGGAGGGGGGGGGGGGTTAAAGTGGGTTCGTGACGGCTTTTGTGTGTCCTGAGTTGCAGCCTCCTTTCACGTAGGTTTGCGAGAAGAAACCTGTTTTTTTTTCATCGGATGCTGAGGAGAAGATGAGATGCTCTAGACCATTGTGGTACGGAGGCAAGGAGGAGGTGTACGTGGAATAGTGGAATCCGCTACAGATTTTGAAACCGCTTTCGTGTACCTACGCAGATCCCAGAGGTGCAAACCTCATAATGCGGACGGAGGTCATGAAGGTCCTCTGTTGTTGTTTTTTTTGCGTTTCAGTATATTTTCATGTATTATCTTCTCGGTGATGCTTCAGATTTTGAGCAAGATGGACGGCCTTGTCAACCTCCAAAACGTTCTGGTGGTGGGCATGACCAATCGGAAGGAGCTCCTGGACGAAGCGTTGCTGCGGCCGGGGAGAATGGAGGTGAACCCACAACGTCTGCGGATGTGCTTTTCCAGCCAATCAAGGATGGAAACCGTTCCTCTTGTCTTCGCTACCAATAGGTTCCTTTGTTGACCACAAGAAATCCCTGTCAGATGCGCCGTTCATTTGGAACCAGATGCTGTTGGGGTTGGTTCGACTCTCTGGTTTTCGTCTCTCCTCCCCTTTCCACGTGAATTTTCATGGACAACTACCGCAATCATCTCTGCGGACACCCCGGGGGTGTGACGCACGCTTTTTTTTCGTGAGAAGGCACGCCCCTTTGAACGAACGACGAACAAACGACTACCCAGGGGGCGCAATCAAACCATTTGGGTTTCAAAGCCGGCAGCACATTTTGGGGGTAAGGGGGGGGTGCCCTCAATAGTGTTGCGGCGTTTTGTCCTGTGATTGGTATTGGAACAAACGATCTGGACCGAGAACCTCAAACATTCGTTTCCCTCCCTCCCCCCCCCAAAAAAAATATAAATTATTTGTTTCCCCTCCCTTCAACTTTGCCCTCTCTCTCGCTCTTTTGACATGTTTACATCGCAGGTGTGCATGCCCATCCCGCTGCCAGACGCTGCCGGGAGGGAGCAGATCCTCGCGATTCACCTGAGAAAAGCCAGGGAAGCCGGCCTCGTCTCCCCCGAGGTCACCGACGCCGCCCTCGGCAAGAAAACCGGCGGCTTCAGCGGCGCGGACCTCGCGGGCCTCGTCCGTTCGGCCACCAGCTTCGCAATCGCTGATTGGCGGGGGAGACTAGATGGCAATGGCGAAGCTAACGGCGAGCGGGCCGTGGAAATAACCGCGGAAAATTTCGAGCAGGCGTTGCGGGAGGTGGATTCAAGCGGCGGCGGTAGAAGAGGACGGCTGAGCGCCATTGGCGGCGCCGTCCGTGGCGGTTTGGCGAGAGTTTTGCGAGCGCCGCGAGGCGGGGGCTAACGGTGTTGGGGGCTCCGGCGGCCACCAGTGTGTGTTTGCGGCGTCTTTTCGAAGCGGCCGCCGACCTCTCTCTCTTGCCGGTGATTGGTTCCAGTGGCACGGCTAATCGTATCATTCAGGGGGAATGCTTTGCGCTTGGCAGGCGTTGTGAGTGTTCCAAGACCTCGAGATGCAGGTCACTAGGACCCAACACGGGACGGAATGTACAAATCTGTCTGGGAACGTATAGGTGAACGTTCCCGTCTTTGTTGAAACCAAAGCTATCGCCGGTGGGCGCAGGCCGCATCCTTTATGTGTCTAAAGATCCCGGTAATGTCATTGGTGAAACGGTCGAAAAAGAGAATTGGAAGGGCTTGTGGACGGAGGGGATCGGCGTTTGAACAGCCACGTCACGATGTGTCTACCCCCACCCCAGATGTCAGCGTGAGGTTTACAAGAATGCTAGCACACGAAACTGTAATTTCGTGGACATTTTGTGGAAATTGGTGTTTATCGCGTCGTGAGGCTTGCACCTCATGCTGCGTGTGGGCCGAGTCTCGGGGCTTCCAGGTATCCACCCGTCCGAGTTGCGCCACGCGGGTTTCCCGTGTGTGCAACGCTCGGTGTGGTCTCGAACACAAAGTATGTCGTTCTTGACGTCGTGGGCCGTGTTGAGACTGATGATCACGTAGGTAATCGCGTAGGCCCGGCAACAGCCAATCCGCATTGCCCGTAGTTCCCGAACGATGTGTAGTGCCAACAAAAATCAAGCGCTGAAGGGAAAACATGCACGTCACCACGAATTGATGCTCTCAGGTGCAACGGTACAAACTTATCGAGAGGAACCTAACTTCTATGGCGCTCGGGAAGAAGCCCTTCGCTATTACGTTTGGTGTGTTCGAAAGTGTGTGGTTCTCTTTCGGGTAGTTGATTCTGTCGTCAGCTGAACCGGTACGAACGTAGTACGGTTTCGAATGCAAGGACAACAACACACAACAGCAGCAGCAACAGCAACACCACGAAGGATCTCCAGCTCCTTTCACGCGACGCAACTTTACGACATACCTATGATTCTTACTGTAGGATCTCTATTCGTCCATAACAACGAAGGAAAGCCCCAGGCTTATACAGAACAGTCACAGGGATACAACAGCGCCGGCCCCAATAAACTGATCTCTTGTTACAAGCAAGGCTCAAAGATTGGCCACAGCCTACATTTCTAAGGTACCAAGTAGGTATGCTACTTATATAGTGTAGTGCCCGCGGCTGAGCTCAAATCCTGACACCATGTTCATTCTTAGAAGTAATATCTACGGTTCAAGCCCAGGTTTCTTGTGGGTTGTTCGAAAAAATGTGCCGGCACGTTCTATCACTATTCAAATCGGATAGATGGAGGTACAGGGTAGAGAGGTAGAAACAAAGGCAACAACAGCTGGTGCTAGTGCACTAGATTGCCACGCGTGTCTTGTTTGGTTGCGGCTGGAGTACTAACTAACGCGAGTGTCGGGATGAGGGCACGAAGGCCGTCCTTCAGCAACGACGACGGCGAGCAACGCCTTCGTGATCGCAGTGCTGACCATCGACATCGCGACGGGTAGAGTGTCTCGCGAGTGCTCCCGACCAGTTGGCGTTGTTTTGCTGAGCCCGTCATTACCGCGGTCGAATGCAGGTGTAGAACCGGACAAGGAAAACTTGCCCTGTTCCCGAGACGGCCCAACAGCTCTATTGACGAAAACAACGCTGTCCTCGCTGTTCTCTCCGTTGCCTTGTATGACATTGTTTTGGCTCCCTAAGCTGCCCCTGCCGAAAGATGGAGCACATCTCCTGACATCGTTCTCTTGTGGATGAAAGTCCTTAGCCTCGGGGGTACGTGGAGCCGCACCATTCCCCGCTGCTTCTGGCTGCGCCAGGAGCGGCGGTTGTGGTTCGCCTCGAGTGGAGTTGTCTCTCGAGCGGCTGTCTTCACTCAAACCCACCCCGGCGGACGTAGGGGCAGTCGTTTCGCCCGGAGAGGTAGGCGCACCGTCAATCGTGGCGGCAATCCCGCCGCGACCGTTGAGTTCAGCACAAGACGGGCAGGGCGTGGCCCTAGTCGGCCTTTCCGCGAGTTGACTATCCTCTACCAGAGACGAAGTTCTCGAGGCCATCTCAGTGGCACCGCCGGCGCAGGTCTTGGCACATTTCGAGCGCCTTTCGGTTCTTGCTGCTGCGGCGGCGGTACTCGGTCTGAGGTCAATCTCTACCGAAGGAGGTCTCGATGCGAGCCGTGTCGGCCCCGAGATACCGCCGGACGCCGTCGTCGAGCGACCCTCAGCGAATGCTGGCTTTGTTGTCAACCGTCTTCCGTCGGCCACGCCGTTGTTGTCGCCGCCGCCACGGCTGGGGAGACCGTGGCACCAGCGAGGAGGAGCGGGAGCTCCTGTGTTACGGAAGGGAACGCGAATTGAGGCAGAGGCCGACGCCGGTCGTTGAGCTTGATTGTAAACCCCGCCTCTACCGTACTGCTGATGGCGGGGCTGTTGATGTCCCTTCGGGAAGAAATCGTTCACTTCCTCCTCTTGTTGTCGCGGATCACCGCCGCTTGACGGTCCCTGCCAACTCCCACGCAAGCGCCCCCCCTTCTCTACGCCGGGCCGGTATATTCCAGCACCCGGTGACCGATTTCGAGCAGGTGACCAGCCATCTCTTTGCCCCGTCAGGGCGTACGAGGCCACTTTTGGAGTTGCCGGTGGGGCGTGGAACGTGGACGGTGGTAAGGGCGTGGCATTTCCACGAGGGCCGCCACTCCCTCCGCCGCCA